GCCCAAAAGATTACTAAACCTGAAGCCCACCTACACCCTAAACCGCGTCTCCACGTTAGCCTGGCAAGCTTGTTTGTATTCGCGGACTCAAGACCCCAAACCCTGAAACCCTAACCCTTAGACCCTGTGTATGCCTAAAAACGCGAGCCCAACATCCAAAACTCCCAAACCCCCTACCCCTCTAACTCCAAACCCTGCAACCCGAAACACCCGAAAATCACCACAAGCTCCTGGCCGCAGCACCGCCACAACACCCGGGAAGAGAACCGGCCACCCCTTCTCCCTGCCAGGCTTCGAGACACTCGCTCAAAATACTTCGTTCCAACCTGAAAAATCAAGGCATCCAGAATCTCAATCCTGATCCATAGGCAAAACCCTGCGCCCCCTACAATCCTAGAAGGCGAGCTTAACGAAATAATCCCTGTATCCCAATGGTCCCTGAGACCGCAAATCTGGGTCTTAAACACTAAGCAGTCTCTATACCTAAATTCCCCTTAAAGGCCCAAAGGCCAGAAAGTCTGTAAACTGCTCAGATGAAGCTCCCTGACTGAGCCCTATATGGGATTCCCAGAAATTAGGAGCCCCTTTCTGAGGATCCTGGAATGACTTGGGTAAGAATGATTATTGAGCTTGCAAGAGAGACCCCTCACGAAAGGGAACTGCCGAATGAGCTGTCGCAAGCCTGTCCACAAAGGAATCCACGCTGCGATCAAAGGCGATGAAGCTCTGGCGCCCCAGCGAGAAATCTGCGAGGGCACCAGTGTACGCCTTGGGTAGAAGGCCTGTAGATCCCTTGCCTGGACTGTATCGAGATGTGCAAAGTCTAAAGCTTGGAGCTTCCAGGGTTATCGATGTCAGTAAACCTGAAGACCCAGGGTAAGCCGACTACAATCAGATCCGAAATGTCCTGATACGGACTGTCTTGAAAAACTCCCTGTTCAAGTGGGTGGAGCAAAACAACACAATTGGGAGAGCTGGGTGGCTGTCAAAATTAGAGTTTGGGATTTGGGGCTTTGGGCAAAGCGAAACCCGCTGTGTATGAAGGGACTTGGTGTTTGAGATGCTCCCAGTTCCTCAACAAAGACATAGCGGCGTTGATCATATGCCAGCTGGTCATGTGGTAGCCGTAATGACCTGGATGCTGCAGCGGAAAAAGCTGCGGAACTCACCTTGAATTGACGCTAACCCTCAGCCCGGTGACTAGTGAGGTAGCCACGGCCATCTGCGGCGCTGACCCCTGCTGGGCGCCAAAGATCATTCTCTACCGATCGCCAGACCTAGGCAAGGGGCCTCTTTGGAGCTCAGGATTTAGGGCCTGCATCAGGTCTTGAAATTTAGGCTTTGTGTGGTGGGCTTCAGGGGTCCGCGTTGGAGCTTCTTGATTTTTTGTCACCTGCAAAAAGGGAAACGCTTTACAGGCACGATCATCAGCCTTGACAGGCATGCAACAAAGCTAATGCCCACAAATGTTGATCCCATTTTGATGACGCCGCGCGAAGCTGCAAAATCCAAGCCCGAGAATTACATTTCAAAACCCCACATATTTTTCAAGATCCAAGCTGCCAAAACGCAAAAATTAGGAATTGTCGGCTGCAGGCTAGTGCTCCTAGCTAGTAACTTGTACTGCTGGAGCTCCAGCTGGAGGATCTGGATACGCTTTTTTACCGAGGCTTGGGCCCGCATCCACGAGGAGGGGGCTTCTTCATGCGAAAAGATCATTATTATGCAACACAAAAATCAATACACTAAGCACCATGGATTTGCTGCAGCATCCAAAAGTCACTGTGGGGAGCGTCCACAGGAGTGCAATCTAAATAAAAAGGAGAATGCTCTCTTCTAAACTATCATGGAACCACCCTTGCGTAGAGTTTGAGGCGTCAAGTTGTAAGGTACATGTGTGGGCTTTAAAGTTTAGGGTTGAAGGTCAGGATAGACGATTCAAAGTCTGAGGTTTAGACATCGACGTAACAAGTAGTTCCAAATTCAAGGCGCTCCGACTGCGACACATACCCACGAACTTACTAACCTTGGGTAGGCCTAACTCCCAGACCCCAAAAAGCGAGAAAGCCTTGTCGACTAAACTTGTGAGAAATCTGAACGTGCAGAGTTTTGCGTGTCTAGTGTTCCATGTTTAAGTGTTCCCTACACCTTTCGCCAAAGAAGACCTTCAAACCTTGAACCCTGAGCCCTGTAACCCCCTAAACTTCCCTAAGACCCATCAAGCCCCTAAACCCGCGAAGGTCTGGGAGGGCTTTTGGCCGAGGGACCCCCAGGCTACGCCTCGGTTGGTCCAGCACGGCCTCATCGCCTTAGGTTTGATAGGTTTGATACTTGAAAATCAAATGTGTTATATAGAGTTATATAGATGGTCAAATGGGAAATATCGGGATGAGGGTTTAGGATGGTTTAGGCTTAAATGGAGCTGTTGGAGTTTCGGGTTTCGAGCTTGGGCGACCGACACGTTGATGAAAAGCTGAGGGATTTTGGGCTTGGGGCGTTGGAGAAAGGATCTGGGCTTGGGGATTTTAGAGTTGTAGGGGTACAGCAGGTTTAGGGATTTGGGGTCTTGCGGAGTTTAAACATTTTGGCGTCTTAGCTTTGGAGATGCAAGGCTTTAGGGTTTATGGCTTTGAAGAGCTTGGGGATTTGATGGTTTAGGGGCTTGGGCTTTGCAGGTGTAGGGGTTAGGACGGAGGGCTTCTCCATTTTTTGGCTACAAACAAGCTTGGATGATAATATATGAAAGGCATGTACAATGTAGGGTTTTGAGTTTAGAGATTGCCCTCGTTGCCTGTGCTGGTAACAAAAACAAAGCAAGGACAACAGATGCCAAAAAAAACAATAACAATGGCAACAACACTGAACACCAATCTATACACAAAAGTTGAAATGCATCAGGCCAGAACCAAGCAAGCGTTCTGGGCAGTACTGTCAGAAAGAACGACACATGTAACAATAATGGCTGGACGAATAGCAAAAGTGGCAGGGATACTGCGACATGACCACAGCTCACAAGGAAGGAGAATGATGATGACCAAAACACCAAAAGAGACAGCGAGAAGGACGGCAATCAGAACCACACTATTGAAAACCCAACTACTCACACAATGTCGTACAGAAACAAATAATAATTATGAAAGCAACTAAAACTGCTAAGGTTGAACGGAAAATCCTTACTCCCCAGAAGGTGATGCAATGCGCGCTAACTGCAGTCTGAGCGCGTACCCCGCGGCGCATCAAAAGAGACGCATGATTTGGCGGAGCCATTTGCCTTGGACACCATCCCCAAAATAGTAGGAGTAATGATAGGAAAAATAGAATACAATTATTAAAAAAAGCACCCAGACCCCAAACTGAGTTTAAGTTTGGGGTTCCAGGCTTGGGGCTCAGAGTTTGGGGATCTGGGTGCCCGGCGCGTGATTTCATTATTGTCTAGGATTTGTGGGGGTTGAACCTAAATGGCCTTGGTAAGTGCGACCAGCTTCATCACTTTAGTACTTCTGACCCTGGAACCCACGAGTTTCTTCTTTGTCCTAAGCAGACCTGAAAACCCTCCTCTGAGATTTGATCCGATTAGGGATTAGGGCTTCAACCCTGAACAAACATGCCTTGACGCCTAAACCACTATACCTACACCTTTCCCTACACGAACGTGGAATCCCATACAAGCTCCGCGCTTCGTATTTGAACCCTTTTTGGAAAAGACTGCTTTATGGTAACCCCCATGCCATCTACGTTTTTCAGAGGGGGGCTCTGTTTTCCAGTAGGAGGTAACTTCCTTGCAACATTGCTCCAAGCTGCCAGACGTTGTACTTGCTATCCTCGTGGTGTCGAGTTCAACATTCGGGATGTAGGATTTGTTTGATTCAAGGTCTTGAGGTTGAGATTCAAGCTTTTGCTGTCAAATTTCAGGGTGATAGTTATGCTTTCTGCGCACTGCGTCCACGGGTTTCAGGATTTTGGGTTTGGGGTTAGAGGGTTTTACCTTGTGATCCAAGGAAATTATCAAGCCCATTGAGGGATGACGTTCCAGAAACGACCCTTGCTGCTGGTGCCAAAGAATATCGCCCTAAACTGCAGTCCTGGCCAGCAAGCTCTTGCACCAGAATCTTCTATCTGTGCATCACCTTAAATACCAAAGTCCCCAAAACTAGCAGCGAACCGCAAGACTACATTCACTACCATCATTTGTTCTAAGACCCATAGTTCCTGCCTCAGTTTAGCCCTGCACTAATCCCATACAGCCGCAACCCCAAACCCTATACATGTATATATGTATATATACAAACACATCCTACATCGCCCTGTTGTCTGCTTTTGACCGTCTGAACTGAAGGCTCACTCCTGACATGGGGGTTTCAGAGCTTGGCGTTTAGGAGTGGTCCTTGCATAGAAATCATTATTGGGAGATTGACCTAGTGATCGGTTTGAGAAACTCTCATTTCAGCTGTGTCTGGCTTTCTGGTGTTCGTCTGCGCAGGCTTAGGCTATGAGATTTCCTGTTCTGAGAAACTGCATACTCTCCACCATACCCAAGCCATGCAATGGGGCTGCCAAGTGCACGTGAAGTTTGGTCCCTAACATCTGGGCACCAAGTCAGAAACAAAGAAAAGGAGCTTCTCAAGGCATCTATACAGATCAGACGGAGTGTATTGGAGTGTCCTGTAAAGGCTCTGCAGTGATTGCTGAAGGGGTTTAACTGCGGAATGTCAGTCATGATGTGCACTATCACCTCATAAACCGAATAGCCTGTGCAGGCCAGATTCCTTTGGCTAGTGCCCCCTGGAGCTTCAAAGCATGAACCCCAAACTTATTCAGGCAGACCTACATATCCCCCTCACCTCTATGGACCTCCATAGACCCGTTTCAAGGGACCACAAATTACTCCGGATTCGACATTACATCCCAAGTAACCTCATGCTCCTGCAAGGCTGTGCCTAATCCCCAAAGCCCTAAGTTATTCAGGCCTCCCCAATACCTCAGTAGGTAAACCCAGCGTCCGGCCAGCCGCTGGCCGTTCCCCCGATGCGATTGCCGAGAATGGCCTCATATCGCGGCTCGAGTTTCAATATGCGGAGTACTTGACATAGTGTCCAATTATGGAGAAGGGTTGCCTGGCTAATTCAATTTTCAACGCAACGCCTTCTTGCCAAAGCCCTCAAAGTTGAACCCTTCCTCCCCAGACTGCAGCTACTTCTACTCTACTAGCCCTCCTACCACCATCAGTACCACCACTACTACCAGTGCCTCACCCACAGCATCGCCGCCGCCGCTACTACTACTTCTATTGCTTATACTACTGTTGTTTTACTACTGCTACCGGCCATGATCCCGAAAGTCTGAATCCACGGCTGTCGGATGGCCATGCCGTGCTTCGTGGAGTTGCCTGCCCAAGCCAGTTGGACCTTCAGGTGCTCCTGCATAAGTTGCGGATCCACCTGAGCTCTTCAAATCTCTCCGGGCGTCGCTTTAGGGTCAAGGGTGCGAGGTTCAGGGCTTTGGATTCGCTGGGATCTTTGAAGACTTGGCGGTGTGTTTATCAAGGGGTTGCTGCGTCACAAAAACACTGGCGACGAAACCCCAGGCGACTAAACCCTAAACCCTCTAGTCTTACCAACTTAACAGCAAAAGTCAAACCCTAAAACCCTCAAACGTAGATCGCCATCCCTGACCCCCAAACCATACATCGAGCATACATCTTCAACCATAAGCCCGGAACCGTATTTCCTGAAATCCCAGGCCCATAAACCGAAGCCCAAACTGCAAATGCAGAATCCGCACTGGAGGGGCCTACTACCCAACAAAGTGCTCAACACCAAAAACCTACACCCCAAGCGCCCAGACTAAAAAAACTTTGTTACCTCCCACCCAAGCCACGAGCTGTCCCAGGCCAAGGGTGTCTGACAAGACTTGCCCGTAGAAGGTGTCCGACATGATGGCATCCTTCAAGGATTACGGTTAAAGGCCTTAGGGCATCCTTCAACGGCTAAGGTTTTGAAATCATAATTCAGGGCTTAGGGTATCCTTGAAAAACTAAGGTTTAGGGTTTGGGGCACCCTCCAAGAATTAATGTTTGAAACATTGATATTTACTCTGAACCCTAAATCGATCAACCGCAAGAATTCCCTCCGATCAGATCAGCCCATGCCCTCAGACGACAATCCGCTTGTGTATTTTAGAAAATAATTATGGATTCTACTAGGGCGAACGATTTTTTTTGGGGCCGGGACGACAAACCCAAGATCCGAATCCTAAACAATAAAAATGTAAGGCTTCAGGTTCAGGATGTCCACTCATGGTCTCCGCAAAGGGTGATTCTGTATATACGCTTACGCACGCAGATTCCTGAGGCACCCCCAGAACACTCGCCAACGATGACTTTAACACGACCAGCTCATGTACACATATACATACACATCAGAACCACTTCCAACATCAGCTAGCCTTTGAGCCCGAGAAAACCCCATCCTTGTCCGAGTCCCCGTTCGCGAAATAGCCCCTAAGTCCGAGCTCGTTGTCAGGAAGATCCTGAGTAACTCCGAAGCTCTCTGGGTCTTCTTCGGGTTCGGGTGGGTTCATAGAGTGTAGGGCTGAGGGCTTTGGGGGCTTTTGAGGTTTTGGGGTTAAGGCATAGTATTCCAGTCTTGAGCTTAGTGGAACTTTGTGCTAAGGGTAGTATCAGCATGCATTGCAGGCATGGGATAACTAACTTGTCATTACCTCTTACATGGCCTTACATCACCTCCCACAAACCGAAGGTAGAGGATTTTGCCAGCCTCAAGCCAAACGCTACACCTAAACACACCTGCAGTTTGTATCTAACAGCAACCAAGGATCCACCCAAAGGGCCTCCACCATCGTTTCATGCGCTGGCTTAACCTCACGATTACGGGCCGTCGTCACAACCACTACCATCACCACTATCACCACCACCGCCGCCGCCACCACAAAAAATGAAAGTGAATATCATAGAAGTCGGGTGATGGTGGTGGTAGCAGTCGTCGTCGGGGTGGTGGTGGGAGGAGGAGGAAGCTGAGCCCTCGTAAATGCGAGTTCAGGGTCAAACCCTCCGTCAGCAGTCCTTTCAGCAAGGTCTCTTATCTAAGAAATACTGTGATTTGATCCACCAGGGGTCGAAGGGTACGGTCCATTAGAGTATCATCACGGTCTGCTGTGTGGGGAGATGCTATGTCTGCGCGGTGAAGGATTGCAAAGAAAGACTGGTCCACCTCGTGGACTCTGGGTGGAACAGGATGGGTCTTAAGGCACTGAAACCCGTTGTATGCTTCGGCCATAGCCAGCTCTGCCCAGTGCACCAAATCAATATGCCTAAAATCTCAGCCATACCAAAGCCCCAAACAACACAAAACGTACTCTTTAAAACCTTAAAGACTCAGCCTTTAGCTCAAAGCCCTAAGCCAGCAACCCATCTGTCGCAGTCGGCTTGGAAAGTCTTGTCGCCCATCCACTCCGCAAGCTTTGATCCAACCCTGTCAACCAAGGCTTGGAGAGCTGGGGGTGAAAGTGATTTGTTTTGTGATCGGCCGTTTGTGCCTTCAAGTTTCACGGTTTGAGCTTTCAGGTCCGAAGAAAAATACTTAGCACAGTCTGGAAATCCAGCATGCCAAACCTTTGCGCTGCAAAGATCCTGGCCTGAGAGCCAAGAGGTGCATCACGCAGTTGTAGCTCTGATACTTGAACCTGGGAGTCTGTTAAACGCGGAATCCACTACAGGAACTAAACCACCCCAAACCGGCACATAACAAATGAGGCAATGTAGGTCCTAAACCCAAAACCTCATAGGCCTCAAACCAAAGCCCTGCAGAAAAGCGATTTAAAAAAACACCCAAAATGGGAAGGCCTCTCTGGTCTCAGGAAGTCGTAGGTGTTGACCAGGTGAGCCTTGCTGGTGCTTACGAGGGAGCTGGCGTAGCGCACTTCAGGATTTAAAGAGGTCTAGATTTTTGAGGCTTAGGGAAACTGGGTGCGTGGAAGTTTGGGTGCCCAAAAAACACAGACGGCATGCAGGGATTCTAGGGGCCGCCTACAGAGGAATATCTTCGGGCTCTAAACAGGAATATTCGCAGGGTCCTTAATGCTAAACCTTCTGACCCCGAACCCTCAACCCCAAAACCCTAAACTTCCCCATAAGCACAAGCAAGTCGCAAGTTGGCCACCGTGTGCTGCAGCGGAATCGATGTGCCACTGTATGGCCCTCTTTGCCTGGAGCTTAGGGCAAGAATCAAGAAATGGATACTGCGTTGTGCAGCGTCCTAGGGCGTTTTGGTTCGGGGCTTGGGCTTCACACAAGTTAGGCGGGAATCGAGGTTTGGGATTTAGGGATGTAGGATGTAGGGCTTGAGGAGGCATTTGGGATTTTGTGGATTTTGTGGTGAATATGGAATTCATGTTTTAAATTTTGGTTTTTAATGTTTGGGGCCTTTAGAGCACAGGGTTTGGACTGGGTTTTCAGGTTTGGGGCTTAGAGACGGACCTCAGGTTTGTCAATCACTTTGCAGGGATTTGCTAGGGGTTCGCTGGACCCGATGCACTCCAAACTTCTAGGATTATATACCATTACTATAAACAGACAACCTGAAACAGACTCCATCAGGTCCATACCGGGTAATGAAGCTTGAAACCAACTTCCAAATATGGCTCAGCTGCGGCAGGATAGAGCTCCCTGGCCATTGCTGTGGCGTTCCGCCACATGAGGGCTTCCAGCAAGTAGTACGCGAAGCTGCTGCTTACGTCCGACATGATACGGCCACAACCATGGTCAATATGTGCATCAGGAACACCAGCCTGACAACCACACATGAGCTGCTCCTGACAAGGTGGTCCTTAAGCACCCATTACCATCTCGATTGCTACTGCTTGGCTAGAGGGAAGATAACGGGAGGTCTCGTTGTGTAAGATGTAAGCTTTGCACTCTCCACATCCTTTGAAATACCTTCCTTAAAAGAAGGCCGTGCCTCAACCCCACAACCCTAAAACCTCAAACCTGACCCCCGCACCCTAGATTCAACTAGGCTCCTGAATCATGCCGTTGGGAAGCTGAGTCTTGGCCCAGGCGTAAAGCTTTGAGTCAATGCTCTCTGGAAAGTAGAAGCTATAGGCCAAATGCCTCTAGGCTGACGGGTTTCTCTGATGCTCTTCTTTGACATAATACTATCTAGGGGTCTAGAGAGGTAAACAAGGGGGATCTTGGCTGAGGAGGTTTAAGGGATTGCCCTCCCCCAAGCGCATACGCCACCCTGGTAAAAACCGAGATTACAGAGAATCAATGGGAAATGAAATCATTGCAATGATAACCATCTCCTAACAGAATAGTAATAAAGGTCCCCGTTACGATATATGGCACCATATCACTATATGAAGAATATCCAAGATTCGCGGAGCTTGGGAGCAGCACAATTCATGGGTATGGGGTGAACATTATTTTGACAATGGAGCAAGTGCCTCTCACAGTCGTTGTGAACACTGTCCACGTTGATGCAGTCAAAGGCCTGCTGAATGGGGAGCAACAATTTGGATGAAGCTCTGCGGTTCATGGCAAACCCTGAAATCCCAAATTGTACAGTGCATCTAACCCAGAGCTCTATGCCTCAACATGAAGTAGGGCACAATGGTGGATCCGAGGTGTTGTCTTGCGAAATTCTGCTGTGAACCTTAAACCAAAATCACAAGCCATATTGACTGAAAGTGAGATCCAAGGCCTCCCACTGGCGAAACCGTTTGTCAGCAGTAATCCAGGCTGACCTCACGCAGCTCAGACCAACATTTCATGCTTACTTTGTGGGTATAATGACGGCGTCTGGTTTAGGGGTTCGCGCGAGTTTAGGGTCTCGGGTTTCCGGGCTGTGGTTTTTTTTGTTCAAGAATCTTAGTGACTCCGCGAGCCCCAAAATTCCCCCAAAAAGGGTCCTGCCCTCAAAGCCATGTAAACCCTATACCCTTCAGGTTTCCCCGAAGTGCAGGCCTCATGTGGCTCAGGCTGTTGAGCAAGGTGTCAGCCAGGAACTCCGGCACTCCCTTACGGCGAACTTACCACAAACTAACCTAGATCCCCTTTTGACGGCGACAGGCCACGGAAACTTGGGGAATCAAAACGACAAGTCAATGGAAACTTGGAATGTACGCGACCTATGTAGGGAGCACCTACTCTGCCGGCGAATGAAGGAATGGAGAGGACAATGGTAGCTAGAAGCTCATTTCAGACAAAGGGTTTGAGATTCAGGGCTTGGGGTTGGGCCTTAAGGAATGGGTCTGTGGTTGGTGGAAATCTTGCACCACCTTGCATCCTTCTACCCTAGGAATTTCCAATATGTTGGGGATTTAACGTGGTGCGAGATTGCCCTCACCCACTATAGTCTTCGTGATTCTAATATGTGGCCACAATGCCGAGGTAGAGATGAATCATTACATTTCCCACCAACCACCATCAAGCTGATGACCACAAAGACGGTTGAGAGTGTAAGAGGACTTCGAGTTTAGGGTTAGGGATTTAGGGTTCTAGGTTCAGGGTTTGGTGCACATACATAGGAAGCATGTTAAAGCAAACGTGCAACTCACCGCCATTCCTGATATAATCTTGATGTTCTCAATGCTGACGTGAAAGTTATGGTCAAAACTACCTCCATGAACTTTGAATTTGCCCCTTTGACCCCAAAATCTTGCACCCGAAGCCTGCTTCCAGACCCTAATCCCCAAAATTCTTGCATTCAGAAGAACCCTAAATCCCTACATCCCGCGACCAAACTGTCTTAAACCCCACAGCGGGCCTGGTAGGAATCATGCAGGGCTTTGTAAGATTCCAGAAGGGCTTCCTTCTGTGAAAGCACTTCGGCTGCAGCCTCCACGCTTCTCGGGTGCCGCTCTGTGTAGTGATTGCCTGCCAACTTTTAAGGTTCATTTTTGTGTAGGCTTAGTTTTACGGTTCATAGCATGCCAAAATCTTTAAGACCCTAGAACCCTAGGGGGGGTTCTTGCTACAGTAGAATACAGTAGATATTCCTTGGAGGTCACGCCGACCAAAAGCATTAACCCCTAGGCCGAAATATTGAAGCGCAAGTCAGGAATGCTGAATCCATCGCACCTGATTTCAGGCCTGTGCTTTTCCAAGCCAAAGCCGTTAACCCAAGTTTTTGACTCCTTAGCCCAAGTCTGCGGACCATTCATCCCCAGCTGCTAGACCAGAAAAAAACCTCTCACTCTAGACCAAACCCTACATGTGATTACGTAAGGTTTAGGCTTCTACTAATGATAGATCGCTTTGCAGAACCCAAACAACGACAAATCCCACTTGCCTGTTCGGGTAGCCAAGTAGTAGCGGTGTGGAAATGCCCACGAGAGGGAAACTGACAGTGCCACATCCCCAGATGGATTAACTTTGCCAGACGCAGTCAGAGCAATGTGGCTTTGCTCTGTTGCGGGTTTCGACTCTCCAGAATCCAGCTGCTGCAGAACATCCACAGCGGTTCCACCAAGAAAGGTGTGGTATTCATCCGAGTCGGTGCAAGCCGCAATGGTGCCTGCCGAAGGGTGGGAACCTGGAATCTCAAAGCTGATACACTTCCTGGGCTGCTGCCAAGGAACTCAAACTCCATGGATAAATCATTATAAGTTGAAAAGGATGTGGATTCTTCAATCGGGCAACTCGACATGGGTATATGATGCTCAAAACAGTCTCCTGAAATTATTCTGACTTAACATGGGCATCTGATCGACTGTGTGGCGGCCTTACTATGGTCCTGAAGAGCAGCCCAGCTTCTGCCCTGTGCTCACCTCGCCCTTGAGGCCCGAGATGCTCTCTGCCAAGTAGCCTCGGCCACTTTTGGGGAAGCCTTCACAAATTGCTCCTCTTTGGTATCCTTTCTTATTGAGCGTAAAAGCTTAAGGACTCAGGCGCATAAGAAGTCCTCATTTCCCATGCTGTTCAAGCACTCTAAAAGCTGCAAACCTTCCTGCGACGATGACCCAGTAACCTCCAAGAGGGGGCTCCTGCGACAAATCTACTGCGCACTGGCCAGATGACCGATCGAAGGACCAGCTGCAAGAAGCCTTCTGGATTAATCTGGTTGCTGGATCCTGTATATGGATTTAGGGTTAGGTACCGATTTGGCCTAGAGTGCCTAGAGATTGTGGTGCAAACTACGGGCCCTTTGGGGGCGATCAACATAATGATGATAGTGGTATTTATGAAGCATACCATTATTTCCAAAAATCCTGTTTTTCTGGAAAGCTCATGGAGAGAAGCCAACTGTTGACCCGAAGCTTGGTGGCACCGCGAAGCGCACTCCGAGGCGGTTCCAGCGCTGCTGGCGTTGGCCGTGCTACGTTGATAACTGCCCGTGACGCCCGCCGGCACTGTGATCCCAAACTCAACATCGAAGGAGCTGCCTGTGCCACAGCTGCTACACCACCAAGCCCTAAGGTCAAGCCTCTTGACGCTCAGACTCAAGAAGCCCTCAACGCAAGCCAGCTGGCCCAGGAGCCAAAGCCTTAAGCTTCAACACCCTAACTTGAGAGCGTTTACAAGTACATTTTGGCTACATCTATGCGGACACTACCCCTAAACCGCAATTCGAAACGTCGAACCCCGCATACTGAACCCAAAACCCTAATCCCTAGACTCTAAACTCTAAACCCTGAACCCTCAATCCATAGAAAGGGAGCCTTTTGCCACACCCAAGAATTCA